TTTCTATTTCTGTCATATCAATTTAAGAAACTGTTCCAATTTAAAAAAAAAACATATTAAACATTTATTACGAAATACTGTTTCTTATTTTATTTTATATTTAAATGTACAAATTAAAATAATATAATTAAATAAAAATAGTAAAGAAGATTATTTATATACATCCTGCAAAATTAAATATGATTAAAAACAATAATATGATATATTGCAGTTATATGATATATTACACGTAATTCTTATGAGCACTATGTATTTTATGAAATTGGAAACTGTATGTACATTGCTCTTGAGCAGAAATAATACGGATGTGATAGCAAATAGTCATACATTTAAATATGACGACATGGATAAATATATCTAATGAGCATGAGCGAGACTTTACTCCCGCAAAGATAATTTTCTTCTCATATTCTATTTTCTTCTTTCCGGATGAGAATCAGTTACTGACCGAGTAATTTCATGCGTACTTGGCCAGGGGGCAATCCGTTACATAGAAATACAATTTTAATTCTTCGTGCAATGCGGACAATCGCACTAAAGTTCGCATAGTGATTTATAGAAACGGGTGTGTCGCTACGTGAGGTCAATAGATGAATAGATCCTGATTATTGATAAAATGTGTTTAAATATTATTAAAAATATTTTTAAATCACTCGAACCTTGATTTTTTTTATTCAATTTCTATTTAAATTGTACATTATAAATTTGTAATATTATGTAATATTATATTACTTTTGCATTCATTTTTCATGCTATAATAGTAGAACAATTAATATTAAAGAATTTTTTATTTAATAATACGTAATTTAATGTAATAGAAAAAGATATAAAAATCTATTATCTGTAATTTAGATATATTTTATATTAGTAAGGGATATAAAAATAATACCATGTTATACCAGATATTTTTTTTGTTACATTACACTATGTATTACAAGGGTTTTATAAAAAAATATTACAATATATATTTTTAATTAAATATTTTTAGTGATAAATTTTCTTCTAAAAAGATATTAATTAATAATTATAAATTTGATATAAAGAATAATAACTGTGTATAGGTAATATATGTAAATGGTTTCTAAATTTCAACTATGATCCTATTAGTAGTATTAAGTTGATATCATTTAAAATATTAGAAACAACTTGTGAATTCCAACTCGTTTTAGCCATACCAAGAAAGAGGAAAGAAGAAGACAAAGATGTACACTTACACATGGTGTTTATATCATTTGTCAGTAAAGAAATGTTACTGAATTACAGAAAGAAGAGAGTACATGTGCTGTACGTCTTGCAGCTGTCAAGCTTTCACAAAATTAGCGAGTTAGAAAAGCAGGCCAACTAATTTTACATATGAAAGTAATATTCTTTCAAATAATTCTATTCAAATAATCTGACAGGTATTACGCGAGTAAAATTATTCAAGATAACTAAGTGGGGACACCAGGGTTAGAAAATAAAATTGGAACTTTGGCGTGCAATTGTGTTGTTAATAAATTATATGAAACATTTAATCTAATACGAATGTAAAGTTTACATTTTATATTAAATATATTTAAAAAAATATTAATTTATCGCGAAGACATAAAATATTTAAAAAAGCCAATCCTTCGCGATTGACAAAATCTTCATTTGAAGATATCTGAAATAAATAATTTTGGTGTTAATTTAATTTTAAATAATGTCGCTATCATTTGATCGTAACTTTTTGAAAAATAAAATTAACAATTTTTAAAAAAAGCTACGATCAAACAATAGTAATATTATTTAAGATTAAAATAATACCAAAATCATTTTTATGTCAACTATGAAGGACAGATCGGCTTTTCTGAATGTTTTACAATTTCGCAATAATATTTTTTAACTTACCTCGTGATGCTTCATGACAATAATCGTGTATGATTGTAACACGAATGTTTGTTCAAAGCGTAAAAAGATGAAGTAACGATATGGACATGCGATTTATCATAATAACGAGAGAAATAGTAAGGCATCGGTACATCTTGTGTTTACTGAATGCAGAAAAAATATGCCTATGCGTGTACAATGCACTTACAATGTTCAGTTATACCGCACTGACCAATTTTTAGTTACATACGTTATAGTCATTAATAATATAACACGTATAAATTTTGTGCACTTGTTAGATTCTTTATTTTTACGCAGTGATAATAATATGAAAAGAAATAGATTTGATCATAAGATATCAATTTGTTAAAATTGGTTGATGTACGTTATTATATTTAATTTATACTTATTATATTTATAGTTATATTTATACTTATTATATTTAAAAAAAGAGCTTTCTCTTTTCTTTAAATTAAGCTACGATAAATAAAAATATTAAACCGCATGAAATAAATTTAATAAAATTTTTTTCACATTTATTAATCGCGTACATTTTAAGTATTAAAGTTTATTAAAAGCTTTCTTAGAGCTTTACCTGCCTTATTTACAATAATAAAGATTTAATATCTTATTATTTATTGTATAAAAAAAACTTTCCTTAAGAAAGTTAAAGAATCGAAAAAAAAAATACGAAAGTTTACATATGATATGTCCATTTTTGTAATATCTTGAAAAAGAAACAGCATTAATGACAACATTTTTGTGCAATTGAGGCTCTCATGCTCACGATGCATCAAAGTTCCGTTAACTTTACATGTGCGCGATTTGCGCACGTTATAGAATTATTTGATTGTACATGAAGTAGAATTTTAATAATGTTTCTAACGATAATAATCTTAAATTGCTATAAATTTTGCAAATTCCATTTTTTATAATAGTTGTATAATTTTTATTAATTTAAAAGAATTTGCGAATAAGACAGCAAAGTATAAGATCTACAAACGATACAAAGCAAATTTAATAAATATTGTAAAATTATGAACATAATAATTATTGCTAATAAAACATAATAGAGTAGAGATTATCAAAATAATACAAAAATAAATCATTAAACGTCATATATGACATCATGCTTATTTTATCTTCTTTTTAGCAGAAATTACCGAGCGGAGAGATAATGTACGCTTAGCTCTTAATGACAATTAAAAGTCTGTATAATGAGAAAAATAACTCCATGTCGCGACAATTATAAAATTAAAACTGTATGACAGAATAATTAGCAATGTCATATAATATCATTATTTTATTATCACTATTACTATTTAAATTATAACTTTTTGACTTACGGAAGATAAAAAAAACTTTATTATTTTAATTTTGTAATCTTGTCCTATTGATATATTGTGCTTGTATTTACATTAATATTTATTACTAATAAACATTTTCTGAAAGACATTTTTGAAATCTTCTCAAACAGTTGAATAGTCAGTTGAATAGTCAGTCATAATAATCATCCAAAGTTTATTATATTGTAACTATAATAAACAAATAGATGAATGAAACTAGGAAATCACGAAAAACAAGACACTAGGAAATAAAAACTAGACAATTGGCTTAGCGGAACATACTATTTAGTGTAAATGGCATGAAATACAATATTCTGTATAATTTACTTTTCGAAGTTTTACTTAAAATAATTATTTAAAATTATATATTTTACATATATTTTAATAAATTGTTATATTATATTCGTTAAAATTTTCTTTTATCATGAAACACACTATAATTGTCTAAGGCTGAATTATTCCACCTTTCAGTCAACTTCAGCTCACTTTTCAATTTATTCTTTTATGTTCTTACTTTTTTACTTGTTAGTTTATCCAATAGATATATTACCATATAATTTATCTAAAGATGGAACAACCAGTCTTAAATAACTTCTTTCTTTCGAAATAAAAAAGTGTCTGACCTCCATCATAAAATTCTGGTCTCAGAATTCAGATTTCTTTTATCTATGAATTTTTCTTAATAGAAAGAAAAATGAAATCTCTTAAAATAAATTAATTTATTAAAATGACAAAAGGGAATTTCCAGATTTTTAAAGGGTTCAGTTCCACTTTGGCTTTTCATTTCTGTTTTCCATTTCTCATCACTGAAAGCATACATGCTTCAGTTTAGAAAACTGAATACGCAGACTATGGGTAAAAGCTATATAGTACCAGCCGTACAGGTAGACACGCTTTGCTGCAGAAAATGTTGGGAGAAAGAGAGAAGGATTCATGGGAGTGGGGAAAAGACTGCTTTACAGAACAGGAATGGTGGTAGAGAGCCGCAGCATGGTGGAAGTCAGCCACGAAGACGTGACGTACATACTCGGCAGTGTACAGTGTACCATGGCATAGCTATGGCATAGTTAAAGTGGGAGAGTGTATGACCGTCCTCAGCCTGAGCCAGTCTAGTGTGAACGACCGTGAAGTGAACCTCGGATGGTGCACGCTTAAGGACCTTGAGTCCTTCTTGCATTAGAACTTCAGAACATCAGGAATAATCACCAGCTGTTGGTTGAGTGAAGTGGATGGTCGCCAGTGCGTTCTCCTCTACGCTTATTGGATTTTGATGGAACGAAAAAAGAATGGAAATCAAGTCCCCGAATCACGATTCACATAAGGAGAAATTCACTGGTCCAGATTCTTCGTGGATCTTGTTCGGGGAAGTGTGTTATTGTCTTTAGTGTGAATTGAATGAGTGTCGAGAAATTATAAAGAGATTTTGAATGTGAAATTCGGTAACGAGAACTTTATTATTCGAACAATACTTAATTTGTTAATTTGTTTGTTATTTTGCATTAATTACTTAAAGAGAGCAATTGATTATTGCCTCAAAAACCGTGATTATATTTTATATAACTATTTACATTATCATATGTTATCCAATATAAAAGGCCTTTTATATTTCAATTGAAGTCCGAGAAATATTTAAATTAAATCTATTGTTAAAATCATTTTGTTAAATATAGTTCTCAAGCCTTGAATTTTGGATAATTTTTAAGTGATGTAATTCATTTTGAAGAAGCAGTTTACAACTCTTTCTCTTTGAGACAGATAATAAAAGCAGCAAAATTTTAAAGTATAATTTAAAGCAAAATAGCATGATAAAATAAATTTCATGACAATGAAATAAAAATTAGTCTTATGGAATGGGATTCTGTCTCATCGAATATTAAGTTAAAGTCCGGCACGGTCAAAAACCTGACGTGTACACCGGTCTGATCCGCTGCCAAGTAGGTCAACCGGCGTATGCGAGAGTGTGAGACTGAGTAAAAAGAAAAAAAGAAACATCACAAGTTTGCAGGACAAGAGGTGGAGAGAGAAAGAGAGAGAAAGAAAGAGAAAGACAGAAAGAGAGAGGCGAGGGAAAAAGAAGAAATGGCGTGCCGCAGGCAGCGCCCGTGAAGTTGGCTCTCCTGATGTCCAGCGGTTCGTTGTAGGCTCATGATCCAAAATGGCGAACATCAGTAGGCACCACAGCTCGCTTCGAATTGACGACGACCGGTCCAGGTGCGCGGAATCCTGAAGAAAGGGTCCACGCGATATCGCGTCCTTGACATTCGCGTTCTTGATCTTGCTAGAAGAAGCGTGGGGTTGCGAGAGCAACCGATGATCATGGCGGGGCCCAACGGATCAAAGGTCCTCGTGACCTTGACGATCCTTGCACTGTCCGGTAAGTTTGGAGAGGAAAGGTTGGGATAGGGTAGTGAGTCAGAAGGTGGAGGATGGAACAATTAGACGTGAAGTATTTGTGTTAAATGCTCTGCGATGAGTTCTTAATGCCTGTTGGAATATTTTTTTTAATAAAAATTTTACAAAATATTAAACGTAATTTTAATTGCGAGTTTATCCATAATAATTATGAAACAACACTTCTATGAAATATTCGACAAAACATATAATTTAATTCACGATTATAATTGCTTTAACTGTAAACATATAATTTAAAAAATAAAGAACAATTTAAAAAATGTAATTAATAATAGATAAAATTTCTATTTAGTTATTAATACATTTTGCCTAATCTGTACAGATTATAAAATACGAATTACAGAAGATATACAAACTAAAAGTTTAGTGGAGATATCAATGATCGCAATGTGATGTTGTCGTGGCGACATTAACGCCCAGTTTAAGTATGCCGATATCACATCGTTCAGTCGTGAAATAATTAATATAATTTACAAAAAGAATGCAAGGTCTTGAAAGGTATCTTGAACCTGTTCGATAGGTTTTTAAGCCGGCGGAGTGTCGGCATGTCCGAAACCGGTATCTTGACCTCCACCGAAAATTTCGACAGGTTCAAGAATGCTTGTATCGACGCGTCGACGCTTCATCGAATCACACGCAGCTATTAAGTAATTGAAAAATATTTTATCATTCACCTGGTAAATATAACGTCAGTCTCTGATGATATATATAATTCTACAAGGATTGCTCCAGGATAGTTTTATTTACATATGATGAATATAGATCCTCATTTTTTTTGAAAAACATGTCAAGAATTTATGCAAATATGTCGCGACTGCGTAAATAGAAGTATGTCCGGTTTCGCAGCAGTGTATACATCAATACTACATGGAGGAGATAAGCGCTTCGGTATCCGTGTCGTGCCACTGCATGTCTGGTTTCAATTCTACGTAGGTATCCTATTCTGTATAAAATCACGAATAAAGTCTGCAAAATATGCTCACACACTATTATAAAGTATGTATAACAATAACTTCGAAATAGCAATATGGAAAAATAAAGATATTAAATAATAATTTTTTTAATTACGGAGAGAGGGAAATCACGGTTGCCATCTCCGACTAGCATTTTGCCGAACATCGATTCCAAGCAGACGTTCACGTTTGATGAATGTTTATACATCATATGTTTTTATAATATATAAAAATGTTAAATAGATATTATTAACGTTAACGTTTATTAAATAGTCGAAATGTCTTGTATAAAATGATATTTTAAATTAGTAAAAAAATGTTAAATAGACGTGTGTGTGTTATATAAACATTTCATAACATTTTAATGACGTTTTTATAACGTTTATTAAATAGTTTCAAAAACATATCAAATTTTAAGCGGTTATTTTACATTATTAAACGGTTAAATTTTATTTTCAACGACTATAAAAAGTATTCTATATGTATGCTTGGGACGGTCTATTTGAAATCAATTATTACTATTTAAATTGTTATTTTCTTGTAACATTTAAGTTGTTTTCTGTATTATAAGAAAAGGATCATTTTAAAGATTTGATCTCCTTTTGCTGATGATTCTGCGTGTGTATGTAAAAATTAAGAATGTTATCATTTGTTTTTTTTTTAAATATTAAAACTTTGAACGATTAATCAGGGATTTTTTCTGTCTACAAGAGAATCGTTCAAACAGCTGAATTTTTCAATTAAAAACCGAAAAGATGGCAACCGCAATCGTAATTAATATCTCATTATTATACATCACAATGAAAACAATTGCGCGAAAAGATAATATAACCGAGTTCACTCCTTTTAATAATTGAAACGTTCAAAAATCTTCACGTTTCAGATAAAATTGGCGACGCGATTACGAAACGCGTACACGCATACGCAATTTATCGGTACGACTTAAAGCCCGTATAAAATTGTAGAGATCGAATAAGTGATATGGCCTATATTTTCCCTATTCGTGTCTCACCAACTGTTTCCATATAAAATGGAGATAAACGAAGGAAACGTGTGTAACACTTATTAGATTTGTAGTCTATACGAGACAAGTGTTCAACATTTACATCGAGTGATTTTAAATTCCCAAATGGGTTGTATAGATTAATATAGTTATTATCTTTTATACAATATTATAATTAAGTGTTATTAATAGATCATGGAAATTTGTAAAGTTTTTCTTAATATACTATTTTTTTAAAAAGCATAAAGCAGACATTTTGCTATATAAAAAATATTAAATAATCGCTGAAGATTTTAGTGCAAATTTTACGAATTTAATTTTCACATATTTCACCTCTTGAATCACAGAACATACATAACCATTATTGCGTTTTATGCGTTTTCGCTTATTAGCATTTACATTCTGGAGCATTAATATTGGATTCTGTGTCTCTTCACGTATAAATTAATGACTGACGCATCGCAATCTATTTCGTGTTAATACCGTTGATTTATGAATTTATAGACTAATATATTTTCGAAATGTTTGAAATATTGAATTGGTACCAATCAATTATCAATTCACTGCGTAATATCAATACCATGATGTTCGATGCTGTAAGCATTCCTTTTCACCGATGAAAGAGTCATCGACTGACACGTCACTCCCGTAGCTTTCATGAATTTTACCATCGCTATATCGGGTTTTCCGTTTGCGCAAGGAAGAATATTTGCATGAAGCTACTAACGTCATCACGCTGGCGCGGCGGGAGCAACGACACCGAGAAACGTATATCCGGCATAGAGTTTCATCACTCCCTGACTTTCGCCCAACCGCACAAACCGTGAAAGTATCACGAAATTACTGCGTATACAGTAGAACAAAAACGAAGGCTAGGTTCAGACTACACAGAGAATCACTATTTTCAAGATTTTTATCTATCGAGATAAAAATCCATTTATCTGCTGAATTCATGAAAGCGCGAGTCGAAAGTCGAATTTTAAACGAAAACATTTACGGAGGGTAAAGAAGTGAAATATAATAATTAAGTTTTGAAAGCGAAAGGTTTATCGTGATATCTGAAACAAAATTAAGAAAATCAAATAAATTTTTGTGCAAAATTTCTTAATAGTGTTTTAAGATGTTTTTTAACATTATTATTGAATTAATGATCAATATAATTTGTGATGTTATTTCCAGCTTCAGTTTATGATTGCTTTTCAAGTCTGACTAATCGAATCGGCGGACAGTATAGAATTGAAAAATATATTTGCAAATATTATTAAACACCAAGATCCATTTTGACCGAAAATAGCATCCTCTTTCTCTTATCTAATTTATTCTTATCTAATTTTCACTTATAATTATAAAATAAGTATTAAGGGGCCAAATATAATCGAAGCTAAATTTTGATGCTTAATAATATGATATTTATAAATAATATTTATACATATATATTTTTAAATATGTATGTACATTTTCCAAGTTATATAAACTGCACGCCGATCACTATCGGATTTAAAACACAATCATAAATTGAAGTTGAAATAATAATAATATCACAAATTACATTGCATCAAATTAATAATGCTAATAAGCATTATTAATATCTTAAAATATTGTAAAGAAAATCTGCAATAAAGACAAATAATAAAAGATTTACATTTTCATATAACGTGAGATTATTTTACAATTGACGTTTATAACTAACTTCCGTATCGGAATTGCATGCGCTCTTGTCATGTCACGATTACCAGCTGTCGTGAAACAATCCATCTTTCTTTTGAAGTGGTGTCACTTTCATGTGACATTGATTTGCCTATATGCAATATCGATTCAATTATACAATTTCGCTTGTTGAATTGCACTATGCGGATACGAAATGTCGCATTTATACCGATCGAGAGATACCGATCTAATAAGCATCTTAAAATAAAACTGTTTTACAGAGAATTTATTTGAATATATATCAAAATAAAGAGCTACAAGCCAACTAACTATTTAATATAAACAATAAATCCACAGATATTTCGACCTAAACACGAAGTCATTATCAATATCAACAAACATAATTTTAGGCCGGTGAAAAACGCTTTTATATTAAATTTCCACTTGATTATTTAATCCAAGAATTCTTCGATTTTAAATGTAGCATCATATAGCGGTTATAGATGTGTTTTTCATATTATATTGTAAGTTTTTAGAATGTCAATACACATTCAATTCAAGATAATGCGCGCATGATGCGTCAGTTATGACTATCCTGCATTGAGCTATGACAGTGATGGAAGGTTGATCTTGTCATTGAAGTAAACCGCTATTGAAGTAAAAAAAGATCTCTGTCAAATAATTGTAACGCTAATGTCATAGTTGATAATGATATCTATTAAAATTGTAAAGGAACGCGTATAATAACGAATATTAAGAAAAAAAATAAAATTTGTCAGCAAATAAAAAAATGAATTTATTTTTCCTTGACTTTGTCTCAAATATCATGATTAATTGAATTATCCCGCTTTTAAAATTCAAGTGTTACAATTCACTTTTCTACCTTTCGTGTCGTAATTGCATCACAAGGATATGAAATGTCGCGTTTATAGCGAAAAGAATAAATATTGGGCTGGAATGGGGTACCGTTAAGTCTGCCGTTACCGCCTCGAGAGACGGCACATAGCACGGTATATACGTCCACGGGTAAACCCCTGTCAGGTTTCTTTCCTGTTCTTTTATGGTTGCGTTAGGCTTATCAACATTTAGTTAGTCCAAAAAAAGGAATGGATGAAAAAGGAAAAACAGTATTAATAGTAAAAAAAAATTAATTGCATCTACCATTTGTGGTTACTTTAAATATGTGTCAATTGAAATTTAATTTATTAAATTTGGAGTACCAATAGTGTGTGTTGAAAGAGTGGCGCAATAGTAGTACTCGAATTAACTTCACTGCAAACAATAAGATGATTACTTGAGATTTAACGTAAGAGCCATTATCACGTACACATTATGGGAAATTCGTCGAGGCCGTGCGAA